TCGGGAGCTCAAGACCAGCCTGGCAAACATGGTGAAACCCCATCTCTACTAAAAATATAAAAATTAGCCAGGCATGGTGTCATGTGCCTATAGTCCCAGCTACTTTGGAGGCTGAGGCAGGAGAATCGCTTGAACCTGGGAGGCAGAGGTGGCAGTGAGCCGAGATCGTGCCATTGCACTCCAGCCTCGGGGACAAGAGAGAAACTCTGTATCAATCAACCAATTGATCAATCATTCAATCAATCAAATGTATAAAATGTAGAGGCGGGGTCTTGCTTTGTTGCCCAGGCTGGTCTCAAACTCCTGGCTTCAAGTGGTCCTCCTACCTAGGCCTCCCAAAGTGCTAGGGCTACTGGTGTGAGTCACTGTGCTCAGCCTTCTGGTTTCTTCTACGTCTCAGAAGACTCCTTCTGGCCGGGTGCGGTGGCTCAAGCCTGTAATCCCAGCACTTTGGAAGGCCGAGACGGGCAGATCACGAGGTCAGGAGATCAAGACCATCCTGGCTAACATGGTGAAACCCCGTCTCTACTACAAAATACAAAAAACTAGCCAGGCGAGGTGGCGGGCGCCTGTAGTCCCAGCTACTCGGGAGGCTGAGGCAGGAGAATGGCGTGAACCTGGGAGGCGGAGCTTGCAGTGAGCTGAGATCCGGCCACTGCTCTCCAGCCTGGGCAACAGAGCGAGACTCCGCCTCAAAAAAAAAAAAGAAGACTCCTTCTGTGTTTCTTTTCAGGTTCATTCTCCAACCAGGCCAGCACTTACTAGATTTCTTCACAACTTTGTCTCAATCCTCCTTATTTTCTCTTTCTAGCTCTTTCTAGACCAGTAGTTCTCAAAGTGTGTTCCACGGATCGTTTTCGGGGGGGTTCATGAGGTCAATACTATTTTCACAATACTAAATGTGACTTGCCTTTTTTTGCTATAGTGGCACATTGGGGCTGTGGACACTAAAGTGATGGGATGAAACTGCTGGTGTCTAGTATGAATCAGGGCATGGGCACCAAACTGTACTAATTATCACTGCATTCTCCCCAGTCACGCACTTATAGGAAAAAGCAAGCAAGCTGCACCCAAGACTGTACTTGATGAATTAGTAAAAAAAAAAATTCATAGTTATTAAATTTTGACCCCAGTATGTATTTTTTCATATAGATATCCGTTATTCTAGCACCATTTATTGAAGACTATTGTTTCTCCATCAAGTTAACTGGGCACCTTAGTGGAAAATCAATTGATCATATAATTATGGGCCTATTTCTGGACTCAATTTTGTTCCATTGATCTGTATGTCTTTACTTATGCTAAAACCATACTGATTTGATTGCTTTAGCTTTATACACAGTAAGTTTAAAATCAGGTCGCATGACGCATATGCACAGCCAAACACACCCAGGCCGGCTCCCATTTTTTTTTTTTTAAGACGGAGTCTCGCTCTATTGCCCAGGCTGGAGTGCAGTGGCGCAATCTCTGCTCACTGCAAGCTCCACCCCTCGGGATTCATGCCATTCTCCTGCCTCATCCTCCAGAGTAGCTGGGACTACAGGCGCCCGCCACCACGCCCAGCTAATTTTTTTGTTTTTAGTAAAGATGGGGTTTCACAGTGTTTGCCAGGATGGTCTCGATCTCCTGACCTCGTGATCCGCCTGCCTCGGCCTCCCAAAGTGCTGGGATTATAGGCATGAGCCACTGCGCCCGCCCCCACCCCCTTTTTTTTTTTGAGACAGAGTCTCGCTCTTGCCGCCCAGACTGGAGTGCAGTGGAGCGATCTGAATTCACTGTAACCTCTGCCTCCTGGGTTCAAGCAATTGTCCTGCTTCAGCCTCTGAGCAGCTGGGACTACAGGCGCATGCCACCACGCCTGGCTAATTTTTGTATTTTTAGTAGAGACAGGATTTTGCCGTGTTGGCCAGGCTGGTCTCGAACTCCTGGGCTCTAGTGATCTGCCTATCTTGGCCTTCTAAAGTGCTGAGATTACAAGTGTGAGCTACCGCACCTGCCCCCCTCCCCCCTTTTTTTAAAGAAAGGTTTTGCACTGTTGCTCAGGATGGAATCATGATTCACTACAGCCTCAATCTCCTAGGCTCAAGCCATCCTCCTGCCTCAGCCTCCAAAGTAGTTGAGACTACAGGTGTGCACCACCACATGGCTAAATTTTTTTGTTTTTAGCAGAGACAAAGTTTCCTTATGTTGCCCAGGTTGTCCTCAAACTCCAGAGCTCAAGTGATTCACCTGTCTTGGCTTCCCAAAGTGCTGGGAGTACAGGTGTGAGCCACTATGCCTGAACAGTTGAACAGTGTATCTATATATATTTTTTTGAACAGAGCTCACTCTGTTGTCCAGGCTAAAGTGCAATGGTGCAATCTTGGCTCATTGCAACCTTCGCCTCCTGGGTTCAAGTGATTCTCATGCCTCAGTCTCCTGAGTAGCTGGGATTACAGACATGGGCCACCACACCTGGTTTTTTCTTTTTTTTTTTTTAGGTGGAGTCTTGCTGTGTTGCCCAGGCTGGAGTGCAGTGGTGCAATCTCGGCTCACTGCAACCTCCGCCTCCCAGGTTCAAGTGATTCTCCTGCCTCAGCCTCCCACATAGCTGGGATTACAGGTGCATGCTACCACACCCAGCTAGTTTTTGTATTTTTGTAGAGATGGGGTTTCTCTATGTTGGCCAGGCTGGTCTCAAGTTCCTCACCATACGTGATCTGCCCACCTCGACCTCCCAAAACGCTGGGCCCCCAGTGTGTATTTCTAACGGGCTATTCTGGGTGATTTTCAAATAAGTGTATTTTAAAGCAGACTTTTTCCCCCTATGGTCATACAGAAAAAGCTCTCCATCATACTGTGCCATGAATAATACTTGCATGCTCTATTGAGCTATTGTGTAAATAGTTAAAACTGTATGCTGTATTTATGAGTTGTTTTCCCTTCCTCTGTGTTGTTAAAGTAAAGCTGAATGGGAGAAATCCAGACCCAATTATCCATGCTTCAGAACCTAAGAGATTTTTAGGATGGCATATCTTCAGTGTCATCTCATCTTCTACTGTGTTTTAAGGATGATTCTGCATTCAGCAGCCACTTTAGAGCTTGCTTAGTAAAACAGAAAATCACACACAAAATGACGAGAAAATCACCCGCATTTATTTACTCAACAAATATTTATCAAGAGTTGACTATATACTAGGTCCTGTGCTAAATATCCTGCAGATTGTTTATAGGTCAGAAACTGTGGGGAAGAACAAACAGAATAAGAAACTTTCTTCTCCTTGAAAATAAGTATATTTTATAAATAATTGAGGCAGAGAAAACGCTAATACTTCCTTTTTGGGAAGAATCGTTCTCCAGGGAGACATGCTTGGGCCAATCATTTAGCTGAAATGATCACTAAACATACAAACATACCTTAAAATTCATGAGCAAGGACCATAATAAAGTGAGGTGTTGTATATGGTATACGATTTCCATTTTCCCACCATATACATCACTAAACGTGCAAACATACCTTAAAATTCATGCGCAAGGACCATAATAAAGTGAGGTGTTGTATATGGTATACGATTTCCGTTTTCCCACCATATATACAATTTGGGTCATTTTACTTGGTGCCATGGGCTAGGAACTCTTAGGGCTGGGAAACAATCTTGGTTTCCCAACCATCTATATCATATAGGTAAAAACTGTAAAACATATCACAGTGCAGATGAAATCTAACACTACTAGCTCATTTTATGCTGCTACGGAAGCAGTGAATTAAAATTAAGTCCTATACTGGGGATTGGGCCTTTTATCAGGGCAACTGAGATCAACTGTAAAGAAATTTTCAAATTTCCCTTCTTATCAGGCAAACGGATGGACAATGAAGCCAGTTCAGAGGCCCAGCCAAGACAATGATGCACAGGGAAGCTCCCTCGAGCTCTAGCTGTCACCTAGTACTTCGAAGACACTGAGAGGTAAATACTGCAAAGTCGTGCTGTCATTTTTTTAATGTCTCACATATATTCCAAGCAATATCCATTAGCAAACAAACATCCAGGAATAGTGTCATCTCATCTTCTACTAATAACCCTTTATTTAGTATCTTAAAAAAGATTTTGTAAGACACAAAACTTTCCATCAAAAAGTTGTTTATTTAAAAATACCTTCTCCCAATTCTGATTCCATATCAAATTAAATCAAGAAGTGATATTACACCAATAAATCATCAAAGTCATGAGTAGGGAGGATGGCAATGACCCCATTAGCTCATTAGTATAATCTAGTAAGTGAAATACAAATTCAACTCATTCACTTCTTCACAAAAGGCAGACATAAGCGGTATACTTCATATAAAAAAACTAGTTTATAAAGCTTGTCTTCATATTTCAGTTTAAGGTTCAGCTGATATAAAATGCCTTAAAAGACCATCCAAGCAATGCTTTGGATTTTCTTGTTTTGCAAAATTCAAGGAAAACATGATTGTTTGAAGTTTCTTCACTGCTGGTGAATTAGTTAAGAGCTACCTGAGATTCCTTTGCACTTCCACTCTTCCACTCTTTGAATTTCCAGTGATTAAAATATGCCAGAGACATAATTTAGAGAGCGCTAGAAACGGCACACAGATCTCAATGCTTAAAAAAGTTTCTGGCCAGGCACAGTGGCTCATGCCTATAATCCCAGCACTTTGGGAGGCCAAGGCGGGCAGATCACTTGAGGTCAGGAATTCAAGACCAGCCTGGCCAACATGGTGAAACCCCATCTCTACTTAAAAACAACAAAAACAAAAAAACCCAGGTGTGGTGGTGGGTGCCTGTTACCCCAGCTACTCGGGAGGCTGAGGCAGGAGAATCACTTGAACCTGGAATGGCAGAGGTTTCAGTAAGCCAAGATCGCGGCACTGTAATACAGCCTGGCAGCAGAGTGAGACTCCATCTCAAAACAAACCAACAGCAACAAAAAGAAAAAACCAACAACAACAAAAAAACCAACAGAGTTTCTGACAGGTTTTGCAAGTTTTTTTTTTTTCTTTCTTTTTTTTTTTTTGGAGACAGAGTCTCCCTCTGTCGCCCAGGCTGGGGTGCAGTAGTGTGATCTCAGCTCACTGCAACCTCCGCCTCCCAGGTTCAACCGATTCTCCTCCCTCAGCCTCCCGAGTAGCTGGGATTACAGGCATTTGCCACCATGCTCATGCATGGAGCTTCACCATGTTGGCCAGGCTGGTCTTGAATTCCTGACCTCAAGTGATCCACCCACCCGGGCCTCCCAAAGTGCTGGGATTACAGGCGTGAGCCACCACGCCCGGCCAGGTTTTGAAGTTTTTACAGAATGTACAGAATGTAAGCATTAACAGATGACTTTCAGAAACATATACATTCAAAGAAAACCTTTTAGTATTCTAAGCATTGAATACTTTGGGGGAAGAACTGTTTCTTTTTGGGATTAAGAAGTCAGTCTTTTCTCAACAGTTTCTTGATAAGCAATAAATCTTCTCAAATTCATTTTCACATTGTCAAGAACACACAGCTGATCTGTGCTATAGTTACCTCTCCCTTCTTTACGTATCTGCAAAAAAACCAAAACAACAACAACAACAACAAAAAACAGATCATATGTGACTTGGTAGATACTATTAATTCATTTATATAAAGTATTTAATCTAGGGTGTATTTAACCATTTGCTGACCGAGATAGCTGCAAGAATTTGGCAAAAACGTTTTTACTTCCAAGGTAAATGGAACTCGGTAAGTAAAGAATAAACTGAGAATGTGCATGTTAAAAATGATAGTTACAAAGGTGACTGAATGGCAGGTGTTGAGTTATATAAACTATAGAAAGGAATTATGTAAACTATGAATTGGGAAAATAACCCCTAACCTCTGAAAGGTCTGCTGTTCAGACTGATTTTCCTAATTAGTATGCATTGCTATGGTAATGATAATTATTTTTCTTCTCTCAAAGGTATAAAGCCTTAATTAAATTCCTTTGTTAGGCTGGGTGCAGACTCATGCCCGTAATCCCAGCAGTTTGGGAGGTCAAGGCGGGTGGATTGCTTGAGTCCAAGAGTTCGAGACCAGCCTGGGCAACACGTGAGTCCCCATCTTAAAAAAAAGAAAAAATTCCTTTGTTAGCCAGAGGTTAGTCTGTAGTGTTGTGGTTTTTTTTGTTTTGGGAACAGGGTCTCTCTCTGTCACCCAGGCCAGAGAGCCATGGTGCAGTCATGGGTCACTGCAGCCTCAACCTCCTGAACGCAAGTGATCCTCCTGCCTCAGCCACCACAATAGCTAGGACTACAAGCGGCGCACTACCATGCTGGAGTAATTTTTAAAAATTTTTAGTAGAGGTGGGGTCTCACTATGTTGCCCAGGCTGGTCTTGAACTCCTGGGCTCAAGCGATCCTACCACCTTGGCCTTTAATAGTGCTGGGATTACTGGTGTGAGCCACCATGCCCAGCACTGGTTTTGTTTGTTTTTAGTAGAGATGGGTCTTGCTTTGTCACCTAGGCTGGAGTACAGTGCTGCAATCTCAGCTCACTGCAGCCTCCAACTCCTAGGCTCAAGCGATCCTTCTGCTCAGCCTCCTGAGTAGCTGGGATGACAGGCATAAGTCACCACTTAATGGCTAACTTTAAAACTTTTTTTGTAGAGACAAGTTCTTGCTATGTTTCCCAGGCTGGTCTTGAAATTCTGGACTCAAGTGATCCTCCTGTCTGGGGCTCCCAAAGTGCTGGGATTACAGGTGTGAGCCACTGCACCTGGCCTGTGGTTTTTTATAACAATTGTATGGAATCTGAGTTTGATCTCACCTCTAGTCTAGAGCAGTGGCTCTCAGGTTTCAGTGTGCAACAGCATCACCTGGAAGGCTTGTTAAAAAACAGACTGGTAGACCCATCCATAGAGTCTGTGACTCAGTAGGTCTGGAGTTGGGGCCAAGGACCTGCATTTTGAACAAGTTACCAGACAGGGCTGATGCTGCTGATACAAGGAGAGCACTTTTGAGAAACATTGCTCAAGAGAAGTTCTTGATTGTACATAAATGCATTTTGTAGCTAAATATACACTGAACAGCCTTTAATACAAACTGTGGCTTCATTTTGCAAAAAAAAGTTTCATATAAATAACTACAGGCTAGCTTCTGGCTAGTAAGAAATCTCATTAGAGCTTTATACCTTTGATAAAAGAAAAACAAATGTTATTACCACAGCAATACATACTGAGTAGGAAAATCAATCAGCACAAAGACCTTTCAGAAGTCGGGGGTTATTTTCCCAGTTCACTGTTTATCTAACCTTTTCTAAGCACCTGCTTCTGCAGAGTTTGATGACTCTTAACTATTAATATATCTGCTTTCCTTAAAGTTGCAGGGAAATAGGGGATATTTTTTCCTTATCTTGCAAGCTCTTTATCCAGAAATTTAAAGGACTGTAACCTTTAAAAACAATATGGTTAGGCATGGAGGCTCACCCCTGTAATCCCAGCACTTTGGGAGGCCAAGGTTGGGGAACACCTGAGGTTGGGAGTTCGAGAGCAGCCTGGATGACAAGGCGAAACCCCGTTTCTACTAAAAATACAAAAATTAGTTGGGTGATGTGGTGGACACCTGTAATCCCCGCTACATGGGAGGCTGAGGCCCAAGAATCACTTGAACCGAGGAAGGAGAGGTTGCAGTGAGCCAAGATTGCGCTACTGCACTCCAGCCTGGGCAACAGGGCAAGATTCTGTCTCAAAAACACACAAAAGTAAAATTAAATAAATGCAAAATGTGTATGAAAGTGCTTTACAAAATACAGAGTATAATACTGACATATATGAAGCATTGTCAAAATTACTGAACTGTTAAAAAAAGAAGAACTTGTCAGATACCATTTTGGCTTCAGTTTCAGTGATTCAATAGTCACACTGTTGAGCTATGACTCAGTCAATAAACATTTTACAAAGTACTGGGGATGCTGTGCTACGTATGGGGATTTGTCATGCACATGCTTCTGAATTGCACAGCGGTAACTACACCCACCCTCGTCCCCACAGAATGTTCAGACTTACGCATTTATAAGTTAAATGGCTACAAACCTTCATTTTAAAGACCGGCTGGAATTCTTTCAGAGCAGATAATAATTTAATTTGAATCGAGGCTCTTTCGGCTTCTTTACCATCTGCAAAAACATCAAAGAGGGCATCCAAAGCTTCTCCTGCTACCACAAGGGAAGGATCTTTGGTGGTAACCTCAAGCAGAAAGCACCCAATATTCTGGAAACAACAAAACACATTTAATATGACTAACACCAGTCTCCAAAACAAGTACTAACTTTGAATGTGGCAATAACTCATGCATACTATTTTATATACAAATGCCAGGGAAAAATTAAAACTTTAAGAGATCAGACTTAAATACTTATAAACATACCAAGTATAAGCAAGATAAATTAAACATATTATAGTTTATATTCATAAAGTGAGTTAAAAACCATAAATGATGTATGATTTAGGAAATCACTAAACTTTCCTCTCTACCTCTCTCAAAAGGCTTGCTCTATGATGTCAAGATGCATAGAAATCTTATCTGTAACAACGACAACAAAAAATCTGCTTTTAAAAGCATAAGAAAAACACTTTACGGCCGGGCGCGGTGGCTCACGCCTGTAATCCCAGCACTTTGGGAGGCCGAGGCGGGCGGATCACAAGGTCAGGAGATTGAGACCACGGTGAAACCCCGTCTCTACTAAAAATACAAAAAATTAGCCGGGCGCGGTTGTGGGCGCCTGTAGTCCCAGCTACTCGGGAGGCTGAGGCAGGAGAATGGCGTGAACCCGGGAGGCGGAGCTTGCAGTGAGCTGAGATCGCGCCACTGCACTCCAGCTTGGGCGACAGAGCGAGACTCCGTCTCAAAAAAAAAAAAAAAAGAAAAAAAAGAAAAACACTTTAGGGCCAGTCGCAAGTGGCTCACACTTGTAAGTTCAGCACTTTGTGAGGCCAAGGCAGGAGGATCACTTGAGCCCAGGAGTTCGAGACCAGCCTCAGCAATGGAGCAAGACTTCATCTCTAAAAAATGTAAAATAGGACTGATCTGAATCTAAACTAGTCTGTAGATCTAACTGTCAGTGTGCAGGACATAAAAGGATAAAACAACAAATTTAACACCACAAGGTAGCAATCAGATAAATCCAGAAGGCTGGACACCATATAGGACAATTGATTCAGGAGCTGAGAATAACCAGGTGGTGCCGGGGAGGAATTGTTCAAGATTAAGAGAGAAAGAGAAGACCCCACAAGAAACATAACATGTGGACTTCATCAATGTAAACAAGCTCTCTGTAAACAGATAATTTTGAGGCAACTGTAAAATTATGAATATGGACCGGAATTAGACACACTAAGAAATAACTGTTGCTGGGTGCAGTGGCTCATGCCTGTAATCCCAGCACTCTGGGAGGCTGAAGGGGGCAGATGGCTTGAGCCCAGGAGTTCAAGACCAGCCTGGCCAACATGGCAATAACCCACCTCTATTAAAAATAGAAAAATTAGTCAGGTGTGGTAGGGGGCACCTGTAATCCCAGCTACTCGGGAGGCTGAGGCAGAAGAATTGCTTGAACCCAGAGGAGGAGGTTGCAGTGAGCCGAGATCGCACTACTGCACTCCAGCCTGGGTGACAGAGTGAGACTCCATCTCGGGGGGAAAAAAAAAAGCTTTGCAAGTATCATTTTTCAAAAATAGATTCTTAAAAACATCAGTCATCACTGTAAAGTTCTTAGCAGGTGAAGAGGTACTTTATAATAATGAGTTTACTATCCATTAGTCTCACACTTCAGCAATTATTAGCACACCAAAGGGTAATTTTACTATGACTGTCCTTTTAATTACTAGTGACGCTGTACTCCTAACAGTGCAGTTTGTAAGCAACTACGCCAAGTGTTAAGAGTAAATATGTTGAGGGAATTCCTAGTATATTGGCACTACCAGGGTTGCTGCTTAACATTTATGGAGTGGTATTAGAATTAACTGTGTGGTATTTTTCAGAATGCATGTTGCCTGATGTGCAAGGAAAATGGTTTGGATTGTTCCTTCATCAGCAGGAGAATGTAACATGCATACATTGGATACAATAGCAAAGGCAGAAGGCATCTTTTAAAATTCTGAATTTGCCCTTTCACTACAGAGAGATTTATTTTTTTAAAACAAGTACCTCTGGAATAACATTAAATTGTAAAATCTGGCTCAACTTTTCAAGTACTTACCTAATTAATACACATGGTTAGATCAAGCCAAAGGGTACATTCTAATAATATAACTCAATAAAGCAACTTGATGTGACTTCTCTTCATGTCCACACAAGTTTTAGGAAATCCTACACCAACAGTTCTTCTCCTCCCATTTCTAATTATTTAACATGTTAGGTCAGAAGCAAATTGTTTTACCTTAAGGGTTTCAAGTGTACCATCTTCTTTGGCAAGGACGCTGCCAGTGATTCCTAAAATGCTAACGACATTCACTCTAACCCCGACATTACTACTATGAATGCCTGCTTTGCATAATGTCATTAGCTGATCAGGAGTCATGCACTGTTGAAAGAGAAGAGGAGAGTATTTATAATGTTAAACTCAATCAATTATACCAGCATGCAAAAACTGGACTGACAGGAATCTCCTCTATAGGCTACAGGATTTTAAGAGTGACAAACTCCTGGCAGGTAAGTTACTATTAATATATACTCCAGTTCTCCCAGACAGAGCTGGTAATTCTGAACTAGGGTGAGCCCTGCTCATGTTGCCATTGTTATCTTAATATCAAAGGGGCTCCAGGTCCTATTCATTTAATTTGATGAAGACTTTCATGCCAGATGTACACAGACTAAAGAGATTCCAATTTCTTTTTAATATTAATGGTAAAAAAAAAAAAAAAAAAAGGGCTTTGAAAGTATAAACAGGATTGTGTAGCTTTAAAAAAAACTGGCTGAGTCTATACAAGGCAAGAACTTACTTTGAGATGTTTGTATTATCATAATTAAACATTGTAAAAACCATTACATTATATGGTGCTTCTACCATGTAGTGGATAATTTTCAGTTTAAGGCTGGGCGCAGTGGCTCATGCCTGTAATCTCAGCTACTCAGGAGGCTGAGGCACAAGAAATGCTTGAACCCGGGAGACAGAGGTTATAGTGAGCTGAGATCATGCCACTGAACTCCAGCCTGGGCAACAGAGTGAGACTATCTCCTATAAGCAGCAGCACAGTGTGGTGATGAAAGGCTTGGAATCTGGAGCCAGACACCCTGGGTTCAAATCCTAGCTTCACTACTTAGCACTCACGTGCGCCCCTACACTAGACTAATTTATTTTTAGTTTTTGTAGACATGAAGTCTCACAAAGTTGCCCAGGCTGTTCTTGAACTCTTGGGCTCAAGCAATCCTCCTGCCTCAGGCTCCCAAAGTGTTAGGATTATCAGCATGAACCACTTCACCTGGCCCTGAGCATGGGCTTTGAGTAATTTTCCTTAACCATCACACTGATCCCATAAGCTGCTGCTTACATACCAGGGAAAATCAATAAAAATAATTGATATTCCTATAGGCCCTAGAGTATAATGTTTTCTGGTCCATCCAACAGCCACACGGCATGCTATGCATCCCATTACCATTCCCATTTCTTAGAAACTGAAGGTCAAATTATGCTCTTCAAAAAAATTCTTAGCTTTGGAAAGCTGAGGCAAGAGGATCACTTGAGGCCAGGAGTTTAAGACCAGCCTGGGCAACATAGCAAGACCTCCTATTAAAAAATTAAAAAATAAAAGTATAAAAAAATTTAAAAGCATTAAGAAAAAAAGTATATAAAGAGGCAAAAAGAAATAGTGTTATTGTTAGCAATAACAAGGGCATTGTTATTTTGATACTATTAAGTACATTCTGTAGGATAAAGCAAATAATAGTTTTAAAGTCACTACAATTTTAATGTTACTACAGCAAACAATTTTAGTATTACTGTATAGCAAATAATTTTAATGTCTTTTAATGTCACTACTACAAAGTACATTCTGTAGGAGAAAGCAAATAATAAAATTTTTGAAAAATCTTTTTCTTTCTTCTTTTCTCTAATTTTAATTTTTAAAATTATGTATCATTATTATTATTATTTTTTGAGATGGAGTCTCGCTCTGTCGCCCAAGCTGGACTGCAGTGGTGCGATCTCGGCTCACTGCAAGCTCCACCTCCCAGATTCACGCCATTCTCCTGCTGCAGCCTCCCAAGTAGCTGGGACCACAGGCACCCGCCACCATGCCCGGCTAATTTTTTTGTATTTTTTAGTAGAGACGGGGTTCCACCGTGTTGGCCAGGATGGTCTCGATCTCCTGACCTCGTGATCCACCCACCTTGGCCTCCCAAAATGCTGGGATTACAGGAGTGAGCCACCGCGCCTGGCCTATTTTCTATTATTTTTTAAGCCAGTCAAACTTAGCATGGGGGGGTTATATACCAACTTTAGTGACACAATGTTAATAAGCTCTGATAACCCACTACCATCAGACCAGTTGCAAGTAAGAATTTTAATGTCACTAATGTATCTTTTTGGGTACAATGTACCTTTTTGGTTACAAATGTATCTTTTTTGGGGGTACAAAAAGATACAAATATAAAATCAAAAATTAAGTAAAAACATTGTACCATTTTTTAATTTAAACTGGAAATTATCAGTATAAACTTACTAGTTTTGCCTCCTAAAAAAATGCTTATTTCCTAGCTATTTCCACTAAAAAGACCTAGAAACAATGACAAATGGTAGCAATAAGCACTCTACAATTCAGTTTCCCGACTAAAGACATCAGAGCTTCTTGGAGAAGTAACTAATTCCAGGGTTTTTTTTTTTTGTTTTGAGACAGAGTTTCACTCTTGTCACACTCTTGTCACCCAGGCTAGAGCTCAGCGCTATTTCGGCTCACTGCAACCTCCACCTCCTGGCTTCAAGTGATTCTCCTGCCTCAGCCTCCCAAGTAGCTGAGATTACAGGCACGTGCCACCACGCCCAGCTAATGTTTGAATTTTCAGTAGAGATGGAGTTTTGCCATGTCACTCAGGCTGGTCTCGAACTCCTGACCTCAAGTGATCTGCCCACCTCAGCCTCCTAAAGTATTGGGATTATAGGCATGAGCCACTGTGCCCAGCCAGATTCCAGGTTTTAAGCAAGAAAATCTTATGCCTGGAAGCAAAAGTGATCAAAAACCTAAAATTCTTGTCAAAGAGACACAGGAGCCAATTTGAAGGGACTCCTACTATCCAAAGATGCGACGAATTTGGCAGCAAAAAGCATGACTGTAATGGAATGAAATACAAATATATTTTAAAAACCCTGAGTTCAAAATGATACGAAAAAGAAAAAAAAAATCACTGGCCACTTAATAGAGATTGCTAGGATACCTATTCTGGAAAAAACAAAAAACAAAAAACAAAAAAAACATAGCTAATAAATGTAAAAAAATAGACAAAATTAGGATATCTCTATTCTGCAACCCACTAATGACATAATGGAGCCAGGCAACCACAATCACTGGTTATGAAACCATTAACGTGAACTCACTAATTAATCTCAGCTTCACTATTTTATACCACATGATTTGTGATATAAATGTAGGAAATATATATAGCACTATAAATTATTCTTGCCAAAAAATCTGGACCTGTCTAGATTACTTATTATAAATATTAAAAAAAAAACAAAAAATAATCTGGACCTGGATCTAATTAAGGCTCTAGACCTAGCTCCCGGCTCACAGGAAACACAGGGGACAGAGGAATGCTGAATGATACCATCATGATGAGTTGGCCAAATCTGCCAGTGTGGAAAACACTACAGAACAAAATTAGAGTTTCTTCAATGGGTAAGTGTATGGGGAAAGCAGGGGAGTGAGGGAAATGTTATAGATTAAGAGATTTAAGAATCTAAAACCAATGAAATCACTGAATTGTACACTTTAGTTATTTATTTATTTTTGAGACAGAGTCTCCTTCTGTCGCCCAGGCTGGAGTGCAGTGGCGCAATCTCAGCTCACTGCAACCTCTACCTCCCGGTTCAAGCAATTCTCCCTGCCTCAGCCTTCCAAGTAGCTGGGATTACAGGTGCCTGCCACCACGCCCAGCTGATTTTTGTATTTTTTGTAGAGATGGGGTTTCGCCATATTGGCCAGGCTGGTCTTGAACTCCTGACCTTATGTCATCCACCCGCCTTGGCCTCCCAAAGTGCTGGGATTACAGGCGTAAGCCATGGCAGCCGGCCTGCATTGTATACTTTAAATGGATAAACTGCATGGTATGTGAATCAAATCTCAGTAAAACTTTTTTTTTTAAGAGATAATGGCCGGGCACGGTGGCTCACGCCTGTAATCCCAGCACTTTGGGAGGCTGAGGTGGGTGGATCACGAGGTCAGGAGATCGAGACCATCCTGGCTAACATGGTGAAATCCCGTCTCTACTAAAAATACAAAAAATTAGCCAGGCATGGTGGCAGGCGCCTGTAGTCCCAGCTACTTGGGAGGCTGAGGCAGGAGAATGGCGTGAACCCGGGAGGCAGAACTTGCAGTGAGCCGAGATCGTGCCACTGCAGTCCAGCCTGGGCGACAGAGCGAGACTCCGTCTCAAAAAAAAAAAAAAAAAAGGTTAATAAGAGACCAAAATATCAACCAAAAGCAACACGTGGACCTTGCTTAGATCCGGATTTGAACAAGCCAATTGTTAAAAGACTTTTTTTTTTTTTTGAGACAGAGTCTCGCTGTGTTGCCCAGGCTGGAGTGCAGTGGCATGATCTCGGCTCACTGCAACCTCTGTCTCCCGGGTTCAAGCAATTCTCCTGCCACGGCCTCCCAAGCAGCTGGGATTACAGGAGTGCGCCACCATGCCCAGCTAACTTTTGTATTTTTAGTAGAGATGGGGTTTCACCATGTTGGCCAGGCTGGTCTCGAATTCCTGACCTCGGGTGATCTGCCTGCCTCAGCCTCCCAAAGTGCTGGGATTACAGGTGTGAGCCACCGTGCCTGGCCACGTTAAAATACATTTTTAAGGCAATCTGGGAAAACTGAATTCAGACTGCAACCGGGAAAACTGAACTCAGAGTGCAAACCAAAGGATAATAAGAAATATCCATTAATTTGGAGGCTTGGGGTAATGGTACTGGGGTTAAGATTTTTAAACATTTAATTTTCTGTCAGACATGCATACTGAACTACATAATAAAATACTCATGGGTCAAACATGACTTGCTTTAAAAATACTCCAGGAAACAAAAATAAGGACCCAGTGAGATGAATGAAACCATGTCACAAGAATGACAGGATGCCAATAACCTGCTGAGGCTTGGTGACAGTGCACGTAGGCTCATAGGGTATTGTATGATCTCTGCTTTGGGCATTGTAGCGCACACCTGTAATCCCAGCTACTTGGGAGGCTGAGGTGGGAGGATTGAACCCAGGAGACTAGCCTGGGCAACACAGTAAGACCCCGTCTCAAAAAACAAAGCAACGGAATTATCTCTGCTTTTAGGAATGTTTGAAAATCTCCTTAGTAAAAAGTTAACAGAAGTGGTAAGGCACCTATGGGAGATGAAGTGCACATGGACTGCTGTGGAGGGTGAGGAGGACATGCTTGCAAAATCTGTAATGAAATGTTAAAAAAAAAAAAAAAAAAAAAAGAGCTGGGTATGGTGGCTCACACCTGTCATCCCAGCACTTTAGGAGGCCAAGGCGGGTGGATCACTTGAGGTCAGGCACTCAAGACCAGCCTGGCCACATGGCAAAACCCCATCTCTACTAAAAAAACAAAAATTAGCTGGGTGTGGTGACGCATGCCTGTAATTCCATCTACTTGGGTGGCTGAGGCACGAGAATCATTTGAACCCAGGAGGCAGAGGTTGCAGTGAGCTGAGATCGTGCCACTGCACTCCAGCATGGGCAACAGAGTAAGACTCTGTCTCAAAAAATAAAATAAAATAAAATAAAAAAAAGACCAATGATAGATAAATTATTTACAACATATTTATCAATTAAGTTGTATTGATTAAAAAGCACTTGTTTAGCTAGTAGGCCTATATATTAAAAAATTTAAAAAATTAAATTAAAAGCACCTGTGTGTTGCTGATGGTGGGGGCAGAAAGATATTACTTTTTATTTTAATCACTTTTGTTTTCTTTTTTACAAAGATAATGTATTACTCTTGTAACAGAAATATGTATTTTTAAAAATAGTGAAGTAATGAATTTTGCCTCCATAATACAGAATCTTTACAAGTTTCATACAAAAAATTTTAGAACTCTTACCTGGGAAATGTTCTTGGAGGCCATTGTTTGCAAAAGGGCCCTCAAAGCACTACTTATGGCTTCTAGAAAGTCAGCGTGTTTAGCAAAATCTAAAACACAAAACTGAAATATAAAATTTGCATTTCTCCAAGATAGGCTATTTTGTAGAAGCAGCAAACGAAACAAAGCATGCTAAATGTGAATAAATGCTATTCTTAATAAAACAAACAAAAAAACCCTCGATATTTAGCCAAAATATTTAGTTAACAGTCCCCTGTACACTCTAAACCTAAGTCTGAAAGATGATTGTGGTTGAAATAATCACAGCAAGGAGGTGTTCTACAGACAGTCCTTGACTTCAGACACTGGGTTTTCATTTGACTCACACGTTAGCACATAATAAACCTGAGCTAGCTTTTGCAGACTGAATTCTGTCATTCATAGATCTCCATCACGGTGCTGGGGAGACCTACCTTTGGTGGAGTCAGAATGCTTCCTTGCCAACCCAAGCTCACTGCCTAGCCACAAACTGTTGCTTGTGCAGAGCCAGGACATGACAGCACCATCATTTTAACTGACCTAACATTCCCTTCCCACTCCTACTCCTTATTCGCACACTTTTCCTATTGTCCCTTCTTCCCACACAGGACAAACAGAACACCAGCAGTAAGCCATTACTCTGGCACAGGCATGGGCAAGGGACAGTGAGGGTCACCCAGGGGAGTTGGCTCCTTAACCCCTTTGATGGGAAGAGATTTGCTTGGTGTGGTAAACTGTATTTTCTAAAAATGGCCACAGCAATATTTCAAGTCCTGTGTAATCTTCAAGAACCTCGCCACTTCCTATAAAGATGTGAAATCTACTTCTCCTTTCCTTAAATCAGGGTAGGACTCTGTGACTTCTTCAACCAACAGAATACAAAGTGATGGTCACAAAAGGCAGTATGACTTCCAGCCCTGACGCATGTGTGCAAGCTCTTTTTTCTCTCAGCTTCTGCCCTGGGAACCTAGCCATCCTGTTATGCAGAAGCCCATGTCACATGAAGAGGTCACCGTGGGTGTTCTACCTGACAAACCCTGCACCAACTGCCAGACACGTGAATGAACAAGACTTCGGATGATTCTGGCCCACACTCTGCAAGTTTTCCAGCAGAGGCCCTAGACTAGTATTTCTCAGCCTCTGCACTACTGACATTTTGGACCAGATAATTCTTCATTTTGTGTGTGTGCAGGGGTCTCCTGGGCACCGCAGGATGTGAAGGAGCATTCCTGGCCTCAACCCTCTAGATACCAGTTGCAATTTCCAAGTTGTAAAACCAAAAATTCCTCCAGATGTTGCCAAATGTCCCTAGGTGGGAGGTGAGAGGGGATAAGTGGCTAAGGTTGAGAACTACTGGCCTAGACATTGTGGAGTAGGAACAAGCCATCTCCACTGTACCCTAAATTCTTGACCTAAGGAAACTCTCAGAAATAATAAATGATAGTTGTTGTTTTAAGTCACAGAGTTTTGGGGTAACTTGTTATGCAGCAATAGATACACTCATTTCCTGCCCCACAGTGCCTGGGACTCGATATCATTCCGATCCCCTGCTTTTAGGTTATCCGGGTGGAAGAGAGGCAGCTTCTGTTCAAATTTTAATCCCAGTTGATTTTATTTTTTGGCTCTTTCATTTTCAGATATACAAAATGTACCAAAATAGGGGACTTCCCGTGATGATCACAGAACAAGTAATAGGAGACCTGGGATAGAGTAATTATGTGACTCCTCCCGCCTTCATTTTAGTCTTGGCTCAAACGTTACCTCCTCACAGAGGCCTTTCCACACTAACTGGCCTAGTGTAACGCCTCATATCATTCTGCTTTTATTGTTTTCTTCATAGCTAGTTATCACATAAAACATTTATTTCTACTAGAATGCAAACTCCATGAGCATAGTGACCTGGCTTATCTTGTTCACGCCTGCAACCCTAGCATTTAGAACAGTGTATGACACAAAGCGTTCAATAAATACAAGTTAAAAGAATGAATGACCTTGGGCTGGGTGTGGTGGCTCACACCTGTAATCCCAGCACTTTGGGAGGCTGAGACAGGCGGATCACGAGGTCAGGAGATCGAGACCATCCTGGTTAACATGGTGAAACCCCATCTCTACCAAAAATACAACAAATTAGCTGGGTGTGGTGGTGGGCGCCTGTAGTCCCAGCTATTCGGGAGGCTGAGGCAGAAGAATGGCATGAACCCGGGAGGCAGAGCTTGCAGAGAGCCGAGATTGCGCCACTGCACTCCAGCCTGGGCGACAGAGCAAGACTCCGTCTCAGAAAAAGAAAAAAAAGAATGAATGACCTGGAAGAGGTTCCTTAACCTCTCAGCTAAGGTTCCTAAATCTCAGCTTCCTCAGCAGGATGATGAAGTAATAAGGCCTATCTCTTAAAACATGGTACCTAACAGGCACTCAAAAATCAGCGTGAAGTTGTTAATACATTTGAGTTTTTTTTTGAGACAGGGTCTTGCTCTGTCACCCAGGCTGGTGTGCAGTGGTGTGATCTAGGCTCACTGCAGCCTGGACCTCCTGGGCTCAAGCAATCCTCCTGCCTCAGCCTCCCGAGTAGCTAGCACCACAGGCACGTGCCACCATGTCCAGCTAATTTTTCTTGTATTTGTAGAGACGGGGTCTCATCATATGTACAGGCTGGTCTCAAACTCTTGAGCTCAAGCAATCCACCCCCCTCAGCCTCCCAAAGTGCTATGATTATAGGTGTGTGCCACCCTGTCCAGCCAATTTGTTGCTATTAAACTTCAAAAAGTTACCACATTGACTGTGAAATGTATATTTGATTAAAGGTCTAAATAAATTTATGAATTGTACACAAAGAGGTGATTCAAAATGTCTTTACTCTTAACAACTTTGAACAGTATTTAAGAATTTGTAGCACGTCTAAATGTAGGCACATAATCAACGCAGGAGTAATTACATTCAGGTGAATTTTTCAGACTGATTTTAATATTTTTCACTCTGTCACTCAGGCTGGAGTATAGTGGCAAGATCTGGGCTCACTGCAACCTCCGCCTTCCAGGTTCAAGCAATTCTCCTGCCTCAGCCTCCCAAGTAGCTGGGATTACAGATGTGCACCACCACGCCCAGTTAATTTTTGTATCTTTAGTAGATATGGGGTTTCACCATGTTGGTTAGGCTGGTCTTGAACTCCTGACCTCAGGTGACCTGCCCGCCTTGGCCTCCCAAAGTGCTGGGATTATAGCTGTGAACCACCACGCCCAGCCTGAATTTTCTTTTTTTCTTATTTTTAATTAATTAATTATTATTTTTTTGAGACGGAGTCTTGCTCTGTCACCCAGGCTGGAGTACACTGGTGCGATTTCGGCTCACTGCAATCTTCACCGCCTGGGTTCAAGCAGTTCTCCTGTCTCAGTCTCCCAAGTAGCTGGGACCACAGGTGCACGCCACCATGCCTGGCTAATTTTCATATTTTTAGTGGAGACGGGATTTCACCATATTGGTCAGGCTGGTCTCAAACTCCTGACCTCAGGTGATCCAACTGCCTTGGCCTACCAAAGTGCTGGGATTATAGGCGTGAGCCACCGTGCCCGGACACCCAGTCTGAATTTTCAATATTCTGACGTGGAATGGAAAATATATCCCAGAATGGGATACTACCATTTTAATTATAACTAAAAAAGAATGTTCTGATTCTGAAAATCTGGAAAAACAGAATCCTAAATGATTTCAGAACTCATGTAATAGAGCTGAATGACAGACTGACCCAATATGAAATACAACATTCCTAAAAAACACATTGATGTTTTGAAAACAAATAGCTTTTAATGAAGGAGACAAAGATAATCGTGCTTTTGAATGCAAGGACCGGATTGTACTAAAACGTCCTCCTTTTATCTCTGATATCAGACACAAACATAAATGTAGGTATGTACAGAGTATCACAAACATTATAACTACTGTATTCGGAACTGTATTTAGCATTAAAATTAAAACAAGTTAGATAGAGAAGTAGAACCATCATACCTTTAACTCTCAACCATAACACAAAACAGCAGAGATATTTAGCCCCATTCTCCCCACTAAATTCTCCATTTTTTTTTTTTTTTTAATTGAGACAGAGTCTCACTCTGTTGCCCGGGCTGGAGTACAACAGCACAATCATAGCTCATTGCAGCCTTGACCTCCTGGGCTCAGGCAATCCTCCCACTTTAGCTTCCACAGGCGCAAGCAAGCTACCACTCCTGGCTAATTAAAAAACCTTTTTTGGTGGGGACAGTGTATCACTATGTTGCCCAGGCTGGTCTTAAACTCTTGGGCTCATGTGATCCTCCCAATTCAGCTCCCAAAGTGCTGGGACTTCAGGTGTGAGCCACCGTGGCCAGCCTCCACTAAATTATCTTGTAACAGTTCCCACTATCCATATAGAACCCACAGGATTACATTATTAATAAATCTCAAATGCTTAGAAGGACTGTATTAGAATATCATCTCTAGGACAAGCACAGTAGCTCATGCCTACAATCCCAGCACTTTGGGAGGTCAAGGTGGGTGGATAATAAGGTCAGGAGTTCAAGACCAGCCTGGCCAACATGGTGAAACCCGTTTCTATTAAAAATACAAAAATTAGCCAGGCGCTTATTCACCAAAGCTGAAATGAAGGAAAAAATGTTAAGGCCAGAGAGAAAGGTCGGGTTACCAACAAAGGGAAGCCCATCAGACTAACAGCAGATCTCTTGGCAGAAACTCTACAAGCCAGAAAAGAGTGGGGCATTCAACATTCTTAAAGAAAAGAATTTTCAACCCAGAATTTCATATCCAGCCAAACTAAGCTTCATAAGTGAAGGAGAAATAAAATCCTTTACAGACAAGCAAATGCTGAGAGATTCTGTCACCACTAGGCCTGCCCTACAAGAGCTCCTGAAGGAAGCACTAAACATGGAAAGGAAAACCGGTACCAGCCACTGCAAAAACATTCCAAATTGTAAAGACCATCGATGCTAGGAAGAAACTGCATCCACTAACAAGCAAAATAACCAGCTAACATCATAATGACAGGATCAAACTCACACATAACAATATTAACCTTAAATGTAAA